AGGGTTGGTGGTCACATAATCACTATGAGTCTTAGATTCTTTTTCCTACATTCAACACACAATTAAAATTCATGCTAGCTTTTCTTGATATTTAGCATTTCTTGGAAGTCTCTGAATAGGAAACCTTTCCTTTCTAAACAAAGCATCCATTATAGGAAATAAGATTTTCTGTAGATAAGGTTTCCACTTGCTTTGGAAACGGCTGCAAAGTATAAAATATAACTTATTTTCTGGGTATTGATTTTAAAATTTCATTAGATTCCATTGGATTAGGCTTTGGTTATATTTTTATTTTATTACATTCTTAATTGGTTTAGAGAGTTTGAATTTGTACAGCAGAGATGCTCAGATTTATCCATATTCCTCTGAGAAACAGAAGCTCTATATTAGTTTTATCTGCAATTAAAACAAGGATATTATTACTAACATATAAAGTAAAATCAAATTTAACACACAAATCAGAAAAATATTTCAGGCAAAACCTTAAGATCCAGTATTAATATGTTTATGTGGGTTTTTTTGCTTATTATACAGCAATTCTCCTAAACTCCTTGAAGGAAAATAGAAGACTTTGACTTGTCTAGGAACAAAGTAAAATTGTGAGAATTTATTTAATCTAATGTGAATCCACCTAACACCAACCTTGGTATAATAATGCATAGCTCAGAAAATCAATGCAGATAAACAACAAAATCAGTTAAGATCAGAGTAGAGTTTAACAGAGTTCATAGAGTTTTCAAAAATTCAATATTGGAGAATAGGTATACTGTAATATTACTAGAAATGAAATAATTGGACAGAAAATTGCTCAGAAATCATGAATACAAATCAGATACAGAAACTTGGAGACAGCTATTTGAATTATTTCTTTAATCAAAAATTAGTACAAATCGTTCTCCTTCCTATGAGCTGAGGGCTGTCAGCTGTTAACATGCTCACGGCCTCAAATGTAAACCATCCTGACTCCGTGCAGCCCAGCTCTCCAACACTGCTGTGCTTATGAGCTGACACAGAGGGAGGGCAGATTCACGACTGTCAAGAAATTAATCCCACTGAAAACCCTCAGTAAAGCACAGTTAAAAAAGAGAGATCTGAATTATATTCTGTGACTTTACTGTTTGTATTAATATTGAGCAATCTTCTTAGAACTGTTACTGTGTTGTCAGTAAAGCAAATGAGTAATTATGTGTAATTTGTTAGGTACCAAGATGGCTAAAGGAAGCAGAGCTATAGAATCAACAATTTAAATTGGAAGATAGAGGTGGGAATATCTTTGTAAACCATGCCTTAAAAAGAAAATCATGTTTGTTCATTGAAATGGCCTGGAAATAATGTTTCATAGTGCAGAGTCCAAAGTGATGCTAACTATACTATTTTGTTCCCACCAAAAGGTGCCAGGGCGTACTAGGGCAAAGTCTGGCTCCATGTCTGGGGTGGGAAGGAACAAGGTGAGCCTGAAGATTTCTGTGTGGCAGAAAGCAAGAACATTTTTGAAGATCATGTCAAGAGGACAGAGATTCAAATTGGGACATTTTGAGCATCACAGGGGGAGAGAAATGAATGCATTCCAAAAGAAGAAGAAAAGAATACAATGTGTATTCAATCAGCATTGCTGCTTAATCATTTTGGTATCTTAAACTCATTCATTATATGACCAGTAATGGAAAGCAGTGAATATAAGTACATGACGTTGGAAGGCATCTTGCACTTTGGTTATATTTTTATTTTATAATATTCTTAATTGGTTTTAGAGAGTTTGAATTTGTACAGCAAGACGTTCAGGTTTACCCATATTCCTCTGAGAAACACAAGCTCTATATTACTCTCAGTTTTGATTATTACAAAATCACTCAGTATTGTGGCTTCCAGATAGACAAAAACCACATACCCCAAATTCAGCTACACATGTACGCAAGGTTTTTTGGGTCTTGTTCTGTGTGTGTAGTAAATGCAAGATTCTATCATATGCTAAGGTCTTTAAAGTTTTGGATGCTATCAAATTAACAATCTAAATTCTTAAGCTGACATTTTACAGACCTCCCTCAAATTTGATGAGAAGAAAGGTTGCATCTTCAGTTTTAACTTCTGCATGAAATTTAACACTCTTTTCAGTTATGAATATAGGTCACAAGTTACCATTGTATTAGCAGAATCTGTGACTTTGTCACCAGTAGAAATCACAGACACTTCTGTATCACATTCCATTGTTTTAAATATATTAATCATAAGATGTGTTTATATATTATTTTATGAGGAAATTGCTTTTTAGTATGTTAAAAATATTGTAGCGAAACTTAGTTCCTAGATGTTACATATTTAACATTCTCAAAGGAGTCTATAAAGTTTGCCAAGCTGACAAGTTAGTGTTACCAAATCAGATTAAGAGGCCTTAAGTAAGAGGAAAAAAAATCTTTCATGAAGATTTACGAACTTGGGTGACAGCTTTAAAATCTGTGTAGTGATCCGAAGAAACCAAATCTAAGGAAGACGGCTATATGCACTCCTTTCTTTCTTTTTTCTTTTTTGTCTTTTGAGACAGGGTCTCACTATGCAGTTCAGGCTGGCCTTGGGCCACTTTGTAGCCCAGGCTGGTCTCGAACTCGCAAAGAACCTTCTGCCTCAGCCTCCTGAGTGCTGGGATTACAGACGTGTGCCACCACACCCGGCCTCATTTCTTAAATTTAGGACACTTTAGTGGTTTTTACACAGGAATAAGAATTCTTTGACTCCTCCCCTTGACAGCAGTGCTCTCCATCCTATCTTTGGATCTCTCTTTTAATAAATAAGAAAAGAATTGACAGTGTAGAGCTTCTGAAGTTAAGGGAATAAAAGCAATATAACTTGCTCCTCATTCTCTGGGGTGCTTGTGGTTTGCCCTTGAACTGCCGCTATAAGAAGTCCACGTACCCTGAGATTGCCAGCCTGAGGAAGCCCAAGCTACATGGAGAAGTCTTCAGGAGGAAATTAGGTTCAGTGACTGAGTCATTCTAGCCAGAGGAACAGATCTATCAGAGAGGGATTCGGGTGATTCTAGCTCCTTAGCTGTTTGAAGGTTCCTTTCTCCCTCTCTTCTCTTCCCTAACTTTTCCCAGGACACCCTGATACAGGGACCTGCCATCCCCTCTATCCCTTGTCTGAATTCCTTAGCCAGAGACTGTGGATGAAAAGAAAATAATGTCTGTTTAATGGCCCTGGTCTTCGGAGAGCTCTGTTATGTAGCAATAGGTGAGCAGGGTAGAGTTTAGGATAAGCCAAACGCAAACACAGTGAGTATCGTGGCCTGAGTCTTTCTTAGTAGACGTCAGCGGGAACAAAGCAGGCCACAAGCTGCCTGAGCACCTTGAAACTTTCATGAAGAACATGAGAGATGCACTCACCTGACTGCAGAACTGAAGACTACTTGATACCAGACCATTGTCTTGGATCATTAGGAAACATGCTGAGATAGCTCACTCTGGCTGTCTAGGGCTGTGCTGTTGGCTCAGTCCCAAACTCATTTCTATTCTAAGTTCTTTTTCACCTAATGTGGGGCACCAGGCCAATGCTGGGCTTGATAGCAACACAATATACCTTTGAGGCTGGAGGGAATAGGTCTCCTTTAAAAAGCCTGAAGAAAGAAGTGCTTCCCTGTCAGATGGCAGGACCTGGGCTCTCTAGTGCCTGGGTCTCTCTGGTCTTTGTGTGTGTGTCTCACGGCTCGTCTACCCTGCAGTGAACACCGCACGTCCTTAGACAGTAAGTCATGCACACCTCAAAAACACCCCAAGGACCGGAGGCATCTACAATACTCAGACAGCAAAAACGATGCCCGATTTCTGTTTTGCTGGCTCAAGCCTAGCTATCTGGAATGTTAAGACAGTGTGAAGCAGGAATATAATGTTGTTTTTATTTTTACCTTTTTTCAGAAACAGATAAACAGTATATTTATGAAATGAGTTAAGACAAATAAACTTTATAAATAGACAAATAATAAAAGGCTCAGGGGCTAAAATAGATGGTAAGCACCACTGATAATGTTGTTTTTATAAAGCTTATTTAAATTTTTTTCTTTTATCAGTAGCAGGTTTTATTCTATTTTCTTGGACTGGGAATTGAACTCAGGACCTCACGCTTGCCAAGCAGGAGCTGCGCCACTGAGCTATCTTCCCAGTCCCGGCAGCACATTTTTATAAAGATTTTTTGAAGGCATGTAACTAGAGGTTTGCTAGGTAGAAATTATCTTGGAAGGAATGTATCATGTTTATAAAAAGTTTCTCAACTTATTAAAATTCTAATTCTAAACTGTGTGAGATAATGTGTGTGTGTGGGTGTGTGTGTGTGTGTATGTGTTTTAATATTGTTCTTTTTAACCATTTACAAAAACAACGACGGTGCTCAATTTAGGGTCAACTTGAAATACAAATAGATTTTTTTCTCTTTTAATATTTACTATAAAGTATGTGTTGTTAGTCACAGATCAGTTTGTTTTTGTCTATTTATTTATTTATTTTTTTGGTACTGGGAATTGAACTTACGACCCTGCACTTGCCACGCCAGCACTTGCGCCACTGAGCTATATCCCCGGCCCCAGTTTGTTTTTGTCTACAGTCCCATTTCAGCTTGATCATAAAGCAATTGCTTTCAGCAGAAATTATTAAAGCCTCAGAGCCCTCCTGTAGCTGAACACAGCCCAGAGAGACAGGTAGGATCGCAAATGGCTTTAAATTCACCAATCAGTTTTGTTAGACAAAAATTCCACTCGTCTGAAGGTAACGTAAGTGGGTACATGGCCCAAGCCTTGAAATCTGAGGCCACTGTGAAAAGATGATACTCCTTCAGAAAAGGGGTGTGATTGATGCTTGTGCGTGGAGACACTGGGGGTAGAACCCCAGAGTTCGCAGAGGCATTTCACAGGAAACAGGACAAAATTCAAAATTCACCTTCACTGCCAAAGACAGAAGCTGGGAGTTGGTGATATCTGCTGAGGCAGGCCCAAGGAAGAAAGAAACGCAGGTTCTTACCTGTGAGGTAGGTGTTGTGTGAGGAGTTAATGAAATAGTGAGACAGGGGCTGAGACATGTCTTCATTCAAATCCAGTTTCTCAGGTGAAACAACGCCATTTTCTTCTCCACTCAGATAGCGCATAAATCCATCCACCGATATCTGTCCTGCAGGGAAGGAGGATTAAGAAGGATGTGAATGTGCTCCTTACAAGGGTTGCTGGGATCATGTTGTTCTAATTTTTCCCCCAGAAAACCCTGGGACTATCCAACATGGAAGACAGCAGTCACAACTTCATAATATGGGAAAAAAAAAACCTAGGTTAATGCTGTTCATTATAAATATCTCCAAATTCTATCAGTTATAAAGAAAATATGTAGTTTCCTGATCCTCACTGACTTTTTCAGAGGATTTTGTAACACCAACTTCTTTAAATATAAGAATGGCTATCAACTTTATGGATGGACACCAAAATTTTATCTGTGGGAAACAGAATTTGAGGTGACTTACCAAATTTGCTACTATGAATGCATACTGCTTTTAATCAAAAAAGTCATGCATAAGTGATTTTATTATTTAAAATAAAGTGAAAATGATTGCAAATGATTATGTTTTTCTATAAAGCAGAAAATAAAAGTGATCACAAATGAGTTTTCCCTCAGAATAAGAAATGGAATGTTCATATAAAGGGAGGTCATGAAATTCTATATTTAGAATGATTTCATTTCAAATGGTATATACACAACTCCCATTTAGCTCAAATTCTATTTACATGTATTTCTTTTGTTGCAACTTTTTGATGTGAGCATTGCTAAATATTGAGATAATTATTTTAGCTTCACTGAGGTAATTTGACAGTTAAGAAGTATACATATTTTAGGTGTATAGCTCAATGCTGTTTGTGATACATATACTAAGAATTTTGTATCATAATAATCTTTATAGGTATACAGAGAGACCCATCTTAACTATTTTGGTTCATTGCCAAAATTTGTTTCTTCAAATTTAACCACCAAAACCTCAAAACAACAGCATAGCAGGGCGTGGTGGCACATGCCTGTAATTCCAGCACTAGGGAGGCTGAGGCAGGAAGATCACCTGGAGTTCGAGGTAAGCCTGGACTACCTTGTGAAACCGTGTCTCAGAAAAAAACAAAACAAACAACAACAACAAAAACCTCTACATATTTATGAGTAGGAAAGATACTGCCAGTAAATACTGGAGGACAGCAGTTCTTTTTCTCTGTTGATATAGCTTTCTGTTCATTAAAAGTAGAACATGTGCACTGAGGAGAAGCAGACAATGAAACCATACTTAACTCTTCTTTCAAAGGACAATATGAAATCTTGATGTGTATGCACACTAAAAATTGTGTATAATTATTTACGAAGATGCAGTCATATGCACATATAATTTTACACTCATACAATTGAGTAACTTCATTGGTGTTAACAGAATAATATGCAATAAATATTAACTGTGACACATAGCATAATTATTCAAATTTTTCTATCATAAATGTAAAATTAGAACAAGATCATCATTGATCACTAAAGTTATATCTAAATTTTTCAATAGGAATAAATAACCTTTGCATTAAATGCTCTGATGGATTTTACAGATCCCTAATTACCTCCATGCAATGAGTTCTCAGGGACAAGACTGCTGATTCAGAGACGATGCATGTTGTTAAGGCTTTTCATACGGTTAACCAATTTTCTTTCTGTTAAAATTCTTGCGCTTAAATCTGCTACCAATGATACGTGAATGCACTTATTCAACTTACCCCCTCCTACCAAACTCATAAATAAAAATAAAATGTAACAATTCTAATTTTTAATGCCTTGAGCATTTTTCTTAAATATAAATGGCATATAACCTGGGCATGGCAAAGCTAACACTAAATACAGACAAAAATATAGCACAGGGAACCCAGCTCCTGCCTTCATAGAGCTCATAATCTAGTAGAAAATACAATCATGCAGCCCATGAGTGTGTGGCACATTCAAAGCATTTGTCCCTGTCATTCCCACAGTCTCTCCTGATGCTTTGTGAAAGTTAAGTGTCAACTCACTTTTTTGGGTTAATTATAGTGTTTCACAATAGAAAAGGAATTGTTTTGAAACTGGAAGTTCTGAAGGACAGTTTAGTTTCTAACTCTTACTTTTTGATTAGATGAAATTACATGAATTTGACAAATTCCACCAACAGAGGGCTGTGGGGACTAACACGCCATCTTTAGGGGGCTAGATTTGACCTCAGGACTGTCAGTGAGTAACTCTTATTTCACGCAAATAAATAACTTTTGGTCTGATTGGTAACTTTTAAAAGCAACTAAACAATAGCGCAGAGACAAAAAATAAATTTGAATGTTAGCATCAGTATCCACTCATTATTAATATCTTCTGGGCATTCGTATTAAGAAAAATGCTAAACTGTTCCTGTGATTATTGCCTGTGTGAGTATAAGACAGAAAAGTGAGAATGAGTAAGTCACAAATGTCATCCTGAAGTGAAGATATCATCATTCAGGTCTAAGTACTGATACAAAAGTATGTGTCCAAATGTTATTTAATTCATTAATAAGGAAGGAAGCTGGGAAGATGATAAGGCCAGTTCAAAGGAGACTGTGAGAACACAAATACTGCTCTCACACACCACATGCACACACACATGCATCTATCTATCTATCTATCTCTGTCATCTATCTATGTGCTGAAGATTGAAACAAGGACTTCACACCTACTAAGCAAACGTTCTACAACTGAGCTACTACACCCTTCACATATGTATATTTGTCAGCAAAAAATCAGAAAATACAAAAGCAAAATGTAGGGCAGGTGCAATGGTGCAGGCTTGTAAACCCAGTTCTTGAGAGGACTGAGGCAGAAGGATCACAAAGGCCAGCGTTGGAGAGAGAGTGAGAGAGAGAGAGGAAAAGAACTAGAAGAAGAAGGAGAAGGACAAGGACAAGGAGAAGAAGAAGAGTAGAAGGAGGAGGAGGAGAGAATAAAAGAGAAAAGGAAAGGGAAGGGAAGGGAAGGGAAGGGAAGGGAAGGGAAGAAAGAAAAGAAGAAAGGAAGAAAAAGAAAAAAACAAAACAATGGCTCAGAGGGGCTCACCTCTCAGTAAGTTCACAGTACTGCAAGAAACAAACAAAAGTAAAAGAGACAAATATTGTTAAATTAAATAAAAAGGTTAACACCCTATATGGGGTAAACTTTTGGGTTAATCCTCACTACTTTTAGTATTCCCTAGAAATCAAAGATTTTAACTTTAGTGCTAACGATTGAACCCAGGGCTCTGTAGGTGCTAAGCAGGTGCTCTGTCATTGAGCTACACCTCAACCTTTGACACAATGTTTAACATAATACTTCAGAGAGTAACACTGATAAAAGCAGAAGAGTTAAATGAGATGGCATTTTTTGGGGTTTTTTTTAAATTTTTATTAGTACAGGTTTGTAGCACCCAATGATTACGCTCATTGTGGGCAGTTATTTATAGCTATATTAAACAATTTTAAAATCCCCAGCGAAGGAATTTATTTAGCTCCAAATAAGAGCAACGAATGAATTTTGATCACATTTCATAGAACACAACTGCAGACTGGAGGTGCGCGGACACCAGCATTCAACTTTGCAATCCCTAGCTCTGCCTTGCTGACAAAGGGAGCAAGCACTCAAGATTTCTGTTGTATCAAATAACTAGGCAGAAGAATGTCAAAGTCAAGCGAAGCAAGTGTAAACTAAGGAGAGAGAGCAATGTGTGTAATCTAGGTGTCAGTTAGGGGTCAGGGGTTCACTTGCAAAAACACAGATGTTTTGAAGTAATAAATTAGTCTAAAAATAGTTCTGACTAGTAAAGGCTTTGAGACAGAGGGGAGGCTTCTCAGAAGATTGCCCTTGTTTCTACATTATCTACAGCTTTAAGACGGCTGTTGCCATTGATTTAATTGCACCAGTTCTTTACAAAAAAAAAAGCAAAAAAACCTTGTACTGCTTATGCAAAATTGCTTATAATTTTTCCAGTCTGAGGAAGGAGTACTGAACAATAAAAAAACTTTCAGAATTAAGATAAGAAAACACATTGATTTTGCATTCATAGTCTTTTATTATTAATTAATAAAATTATTTCATGGGGGGTAGAACCCAGGGCCTTGCAAGTGTTAGGCAAGTACTGTACTCTAGCGCTGAGCTGCACCCTATCTTAACACAAACTTTTCTAAACAAATTAATAACAGCATAAGAAATCTAGCTTCCACTCCTACCAGCAGTAGCTAACTGGTCAGGGACAAATTTCTTAATCAAACAATGAGTAAATTATATGGACTGTGAAGTTTCCTTTAGCTCTGAAATCCTGTGAATACAAGCAAGCCAATACATTAGGGCTGATTACTAGCTAAATTAAAACAAAATGTCCCATATTAAAGTGAGATTATGAAACACCAAACCACAGTGAAAAACAATGTGACAATGTTTTGGAATAAAATCAACAAGAAGAAAAGTTCTGGCAGGATAAGGCCCACTGACAAAGGCTAAAAATAAAGTTTCTTACATATTCTCTTAATAAGGATTGATATGCTTGCAATTGGATGCATCACTCATATCATGGCACCTAAATCTTTATAAGAAGACATAGTGTTTGAACCATGTGGGGCCAATGGAGGAAAAATGTAAATCCAAAAATGGGCCAAAACACAGCTCTGTGAGATATTTACACAAAGTTCTGGTGTTCAATGAAAAAGTGTTGCAGATGGGAAATAGATCTGACTTAACAAGAGGAGAATCATCCTCAGAGAGACACAAGCAAGTGTCATAGCCAAATGACCACCCCCGGGGGGAATTTATATTTTTCATTTTCCAGCAGTATCTTAGGTTCAGGAAAAAAAACTCTTAAATTCCATGTGGCTTTGCACAAATATCGCAGCCACGCTCTGCCCTCTATCCTTCTGGCCTTTTCCTTCCCTTGGGACACACAATGGCTGATGTCTTCCTGAAGATGTCAGGAAGATACGGATTCAAAGCTCTGCTATGACATGACAAAACCTTTCAGAGATACTTTAATATCATGCTTAAAGTCCTACAGTGTATCCAGTCACACTCAGCCACATGTAGCTCATGCTTACAAGTGCAAGCAAAGATCTTGAGTATTTACTGGGGCACAGACTC